ATTTGTAGACGTAGTTGAAGTTATTCTTGTGGTGGTAGCAGGTGGAGTAGCACTTGTAAGAGCAGTTCTTGAACTTGGTGGCACAGTTGATGTGGTTTGCATAGTTGTTGAGGCAGGAAGGAGAGTTGTTGTTGATGGAAGTGCTGTACTTGTAGTCGTTGTTGGACTTGAATCTATGGTTTGAGGTACTGCATTTGTTGTTGTTGAAGAAAAAGTTGGTGTTGATGGAGTTGCTGTAGGTGTTACAGGTGATGGATGTGAAGTGCTGATTGAGGTTATCGTATCAGTGGATTGTTGAGAAGTACTTGCTGGTTGAGATGTTGTTGGCGTTGAAGAAGCTGATGTACTCTGGAAAGTAGTTTTCATACTTGAAGCTTGTGTTGTGGTTGGAGATGCTACAGATTCAATAGATGGAGCAATTGTAGACATAGTTGAAGTTATTCTTCTGGTGGTAGCAGGTGGAGTAGTACTTTCAAGAGCAGTTGATGTACTTAGTGGCGCAGTTGATATGGTTTGGACAGTTGTTGAGTCAGGAAGGAGACTTGATGTTGATGGAAGACCTGTACTTGTAGTACTTCTTGTACTTGAATCTGTGGTTTTAGGTTCTGCACTTGTTGTTGAAGAAAAAGTTGGTGTTGATGGAGATGCTGTAGATACTATAGGTGATGGATGTGAAGTGCTGATTGAGGTTATCATATCAGTGGATTGCTGAGAAGTACTTGCTGGTTGAGATGTTATTGGTGTTGACGAAGCTGATGTACTTTGCAACATGGTTTTCATACTTGGAGCTTGTGTTGTGGTTGAAGATGTAGTTCTTGTAAGAGTAGTTGTACTTGGTGGCGCAATTGATATGGTTTGGATAGTTGTTGAGGCAGGAAGGAGAGTTGTTGTTGATGGAAGCGCTGTACTTGTAGTATTTCTTGTACTTGAATCGGTGGTTTGAATTACTGCGATTGTTGTAAATGAAGTAGTAATCGTTGGATGAGAAGTTGGTGTGGATCTTAGAGCTAATTTAATTTGTTCGGTGGTTATGACACTTGGGGATATTCTTGAGGTTGGAGATGCTGCAGTTTCACTAGGTGGGGGATTTGAATTTGTGGTTGAAATCACTGTAGTTGTGCCAGCATGCGGTGCAGTATTTGTGGGAGCAGCAGTACTTGTCAAAGCAGCTGATGAGGTTTGGACAATTTCTGTAGAAGGAACTGAGCTGGATGTTGGGGATGCTGCCATTGAAGTAGTGCTTTGACTTGAAGTTGTGGTTTGAAATATCGTACTTGTTGCAGTTTGTGGAGAACTACTTGTTGGATGAGAAGGTTTTCTGGTTGTTGAAGCTGATGTAGGTTGGATCGAGCTTTTGACACTTGCTGTAGTTTCTATAGATGGTGGACTTGTAGTCATAGAAATTATTGTTGTAGCAGGTGGAAGTGTACTTGTTTTTGTTGTAGTTGTACTTAATGGAACTGCTGATGTTGTTTGGGCAGTTTTTGTATTTGAGGAGACAGTTGTTGTTGATAGAGATGCTGTTATTGGAGTAGTGGTTGGATTTGATGATGGGTTTTGAGATGTCATACTTGTAGTAAATTGTAGAGAAGTATGTTGTGGTTGAGAAGTTGCTGTGGTGGTTGAAGTTGAGATGATTTGGTCTGTTGTTGTGGTTCGAGATTCTGTATTGTCACTAGGTGATGTGTTTGTAGTCAAGACATAAGTCATTGTAGTTGTGGTAACAGGTTGAACAGTAGTCGGTGAAGAATTTGATGTACTTGTTGAAGGTGATGACATGGTTTGGATATTTGTTGTGGCAGAAGGGAGATTCGTTGATGCAGATACTGTATGTGTATCAGTGGTTGGATTTGAAGTGGTGGTTTGTGATACTATACTTGTAGTTGTTTGTGCAGACATACTTGTTGGTTGAGTTGATGTGGTGTTTGAACGTGATGTTTTATGGACAGTGGATATGAGATTTTGACTTGTTTTTGTGATTGGAGATGCTGTAACTTCAG